TCCTTTCTCAAGGGTCATTCATGGAGCACAATGTCTTCCTTTCTTCTATTTGCTATGCATGCTCATTTGTCTCAGGAGCTGAAAGTGCAACCCTTGCTCCTACTTTCTGACTAGTCATCAAACCCTTTTAAAGAATCTTTAGAAGAAAATCACTGACACTGAAATTCATAAAGACATGACTCCCAGATTTCAACCTGAAGCTCTACAATATTTTAAACAAACTTCCTAACTATTCTTTTAATGGTATTAACATAATTATTATTCCGTTGCAAGATCTGGTAAGTAATGATCATTCTTCACCTGTAACACTTTCAAAATTAAGTTTTAACTAGATTATCTTCTTTTTAGAAGAAGCAAATTTTAATTTTACTTATGTTACAGGATTATAAATATTGGGTCAACTTTCCTCATCTAAAGCAGAGCAGTGAAGTCAGCACCCAGATACTTTATGCCAACTATTCACAACCTTTATTTTGATTTAACACATAAGATAGAAGACATTTATTTATAAAACATTCCTACAAGCACATCTAGGGATATTTGAAATTCTCAGCTACCTACCTATTTATACCTACACTGATTTTTCTTCACTCAGTAAAAAATGTCATCATGCAAGACAATGAACATGACAAAATTAAACACCTAATAGCACATACTTAGCATCTTAAGTTTGCCTTAATTATTTTAAATACAACATTAAAACTGAAAACTCTTTCAAAGCACCTAAAAATGTGTAAAATAACTAAGAAGAGTTTATAACATAAAAGAAGTATTATAAAACATGACAAGGGATCACCCACAACTCCAGGCAGGGCCCTTCCCATAATCCCATTTTACAAACAGGCAAATGAGTCCCAGCCCAGAGAGAGCAGCCCGCTGCAGTTACAGTTATCAAGTCAGACATGAGACCTCCATCAGGTCTTACCTGTACAGATCACAGCACAAAAACTAGCATTTTCTAACAATCACTAGTTGGTGACTAAGTAGAGTACCAACTGACTAGAATCTTATTATACATATTTCAGAATAAAAATATACCATGAACAGACACATTCAAAAAGACTGCAATTAATTGTGAACATGTCTTTGAAAAAAAACCTAGTATTTCCACAGAAAATTACAAAGAGGAACTACTGAATTAACTTCATTTACCATATTTAAAACAACCTCTACTTGTAATATACAAGCTATTTAACCAATTCTTATGATCAGGTTTATTAAAAGCTGAAGATTCCAATTTAACATCTTTTCACTAAACCAAAGACACCAAAAAAATAAACTACAAATGAGTATCACTTATGAATATAGACACAAAAATCCTCAACAAAATAGTATTAGCAAAATGAACACAGCAACATACAAAAAGAATTATACACCTTGACAAAGTACAATTCGTTCCAGAATTTCAAGGTTGGTTTAACATTTGAAAATCAATTTATTTAAAAAAAAAAAGAAAATCAATTTATGTAATACATCATATCAATAGAATAAGAAACAAAAATCACAATTACCTCAACAGACACAGAAAGAGTATTTGACAAAACCCAGTAAACGTTTGTGATAACATTTTTTTTAAACCGGAAGTAAAATGAAAATCCTTCAACCTAATAAAGAGCATCAATGGAAAAAAACAGTTAACATCATACTTAATAGTAAAGAATAGATTATTTTCCCTGAGATCATGAACAAGGATGTTCACCTTCACCACTTCTATTCAACACTATGCTGGGGGTAACAGCCAGGACAATTAGGCAAATAAATGAAAAAATAAGTAAAAGATATCCAGATCGGAAAAGAAGAAAAACTCTTTCTCCTTGCAGACAACATGATTGTGTATAAAGAGAATCCTAAGGAATCCAACAAAAGACAAAAAAACTGTTAGAATTAATGAGTCCAGCAAGGTTGCAGGATACATCAATACACATAAATCAGTTGTATTTCTATATACCTGCAATTAACAATCCAAAAAAATAAAACCCATTTACAATAGCATCAAAAAGAATAACAGGAATAAATGTAACAAAAGAAATATAAAACCCACACTCGGAAAACCACAAAACATTGAAGGAAATTAAAGATTTTAAAACAAATATGAAGACAACTCATGCTCGTGATCCTAAGGCTTAGCATTCACTAAGGCAGTGACACTCCACAAACCTGAGACAACCCTGCTACCCTGCCTGCCTTTCTGTAGAAATCGATAAGCTGATTATAAAATTCATATGGAATTGCAAAGCACCCAGAACAGCCAAAACAATCTTGAAGGACAAAGTTGGAATATTCTCACACTTCCCAATTTCAAAACTTACAACAAAGTAGTGATACCCAAAATGTCAGGTACCAGCACAGCAGAAGAGCCTGGTACAGCAGGAATACAAGTTGATGATTATAAACAAACTTGCACTTCAGACAGAGTGTGCTATGAGCAATAGGATAAGGTTCTTCAAAATTGGATGCTTTCTAGTTTATGTGTTTGGTTATTTTGTTAAGATTTTACATAGGTTTTGCTAGTCTCAAATAATTTCTTAGCTACCAACAGCTGGAAAGCAATGCTACTCTCATTGGTATAAAAGGTACATGCATGTTAAAAACAGATCTAACTCCTATACTTACCTTAAGTAGAAAGTACAAAGTTGTCATCTGAGGTAAAGAAAAAAATTATGAAACTGCAAACTGTAGTCTAACCTATTTTGTTTATAAACCAGAAGTGTAAATTAATTAGTTTAAGCAACTCATGTTCATTAACTAATGCCTTCCAATGGTCAGATATCAAGCACAGGATAGATAACTATTTTATGAGCAACACTATTTTTCAAATATAAAGCCTGCATTTTGACTCAACTCCTGTCTTTGTTAAGAAGTAGAAAAATGGGTTTCAAATGTGTGTACCTCCCAGAACCAACAGGTTAAAGATGTTTTCGATCATAGCTAAAAATTTCCACCTCATTGTTAGAAACAATCTTTTGTTGTTGTTGTTAGAAACAATCTTAAGGGCACCTAGAGTGTTCAGTTGGTTGAAATTGAATTTAATAAGTTTTACTCAACAAGTTTATGCTTGAGTAATGAAGTTTCTAATTTCTGACATTCTATTATATAAATACCTATTATATATTACACATGTTTAGAGAACTATGTTAGTGCACATACTGTCAAAATGAACACATTAGAAGCATTATATTTTAAAAAGTTTACAATTTTAATAGAAAAACAACTTTTATGACAGAGCTAAATATACAATGTAAATTTAATTTTTAAAAAGGAAAATTATTAGTAAGAAGAGTACCAGAATTCTAGTGACAAAAAGACTGAAATAATATTTGGAAATAAACCACCTTTAAAGGAAAATATTAATTCATGCCAGGCTCTATTAAAGTGCATAAAAAGGAAATTTATTTTAGAATTTACACCAAAGGCGCATTACAAGTACATGTGTTACTCTGACACAGTAATACAGGAAGCTCAGCCTCAAAGAAAAGACAGCCATGATGTCATGTATCAATCTGCCTCCTAGGACATGCCTCACAAATAGTTTGTTCCAAAAGCTGAAAATTACAAGTAATTTTCCCTGTCGATAGCTTTGCAAGTAACTCTGGTAACAGACCAAAAAGTCTTAATTCTTATCTTGCTGATTCTCTAAAGTCATGTCAGTCTCAAGAAACTTCTGATTTCTGGTCATTTTCAATAAAAATTGATACAAGAGAGATATTTTCAGATTTTTTAAACAAGTTATATCATAAATAATTACATATGTAAAAATTAAAAAGTAAATTTTAGAATGTCTTTAGATTTTAATTTCTAAAATATTAAATCATTTTATTTGCCATGTTGAATTAGCAATGAAAAGCATAACTTGCACAGCCGCTAGGTATAGTCACTTTCGTAAGAAGCCCAGTGGGTGCAGGAATGAATGAGAGCTGTACAGAGAGGCGGGTAGACAGCAAGGCAATCCTGTCAGGCAGCTTCCCACAAAATTTAAACCCTATAACCTCTTCAAAGCGCACTGTTCTCAACTTAAAAACAAACATCAGCATGGAGGCGCTCACAGATGCTTATTTTTCAGTGGCCTCACATAATGATTCTCTGATTTACATTCGCCACATACAAGTGTATGCTTTTGTCATAAAGAGAAAAGAAAGAAACAAAAACTGATTTCAAAAGACAGACTCCATGAGAGGCTAGTAAAGAATGCTCTGACCACAGAAAATCAGCGACAGACTGCCAATATCAATTACAGAAAACAATTTCAACATACAACAAAAGGGTATGACAAATTTTTTCTAATACTCAATTCAAAAATAAATAAGCAAAAATAAAATAAAATACACAATTCACTTTTACAATGAATCAAACTAACAAATATTTATAAATTATTTGCATACTTTCATGTGTGGTTTGTTATTAATATTTATGCTTTTCTGGTATGAGTTTTTTCTCTGCTCCTGCATCCATGTCTTCCCATAACTCTTTAGAGAGTCACAAATATCCCTGTGGTTATGGGTAAACCACAAAAGTGGTAAATTCATCAAAATGTATTTCACCTATATAATAAATAAATGCTGTGAAGCTAATTTCTCCTAATTTATATAAAATAATCCCATTACTCTATGAAAAATAATGATCATATTAACTTCACTATGGCTCAAATCCTTAGGCAAATAACTTTCTGATTACCTGTTAATGCAAAGAAAACTAAGTAAATTTTATTTTCATGTTTAAACTACTGACTACTTATAAGCAAAGTAGTATTTATTAAAATAAGATAAACACTTAATTTATACTAACATCCTCTGAGATTTATACAAGTTTTTCATCCTTAATTTTTAAACACATATCATGATACTTTTCAAACATTATTAGTGAGGCTTATACAAAAGTTAAATATGACATCAAAGCCAGATTGTGATTTTTAAACTAATGAACCTCGAAACACCTAATATTATTATTAATACAATGTGTAAAATTCTAATAAAACACAGGTATAGTCTTATAGAAACTTAGTCCTATAGTACTGAGCGATATTTACAAGCAAACATGATCCAAACAGCACAAGCAGATTCAGGGTAAGTAAACACGCGGACACGAACTGCCAGGCGCACCTGGTCTCCACGGCAACAGATGATTTCTTCACAGAAAGGAGACCTTAGAAAAGAGAAAATGGATTCAATTAAGAAATGAATTTAGGTTTTACTTTATTTCCAAGAAAGTCAGTATTTAAAATGATTTTTAAAAATCCTGTCTCTGTTATCAAGGACTCTGCAATTGTGGTAAAACTATTCAAATTATAAACTATTTCCTCAAAAAAATAAAAAAACTATTTCCTCATAGGCTATTAAGTTTTTAAAATTACACTAGACAAGATCAGTGATCCTCGACAGAATCACTGGGGAAACAACCCGGAGCTCTCAAGAGCTACTCTGGCCCTAATGAATCACAGTCTGAGGCAAGAGGACAGGTCACTACAGAAGCTCCCTGTGTGACTCTGAAGCCATTCCTAAATTAGCACCAAGTGTTCGCTGAGATTATGTCAAAAACACCAAGACACCATAAATTCCACCTTACCGCAGACACGTGGCAAACGCGCGCCTCGCATTTCTATACACGAAGTGTATTGGGAACCCTTTAAATGTGTGGCCATCAGGCACAGCCCTTCTGATAGCATCCTGAAACTCTTCATTGCCCGCAGATATGCTTGTTGTACGCTCAAATTCATAAGACGCCAGAGCTGGTGACAAGAGATAAGAAAGCTGGTCTTCCCAGACAGTAGTGAGGCCAAGGTCCTACAGCAATCGAAATGGAAAAAGCAAAATACAATACTTAAAAAAACTAATTATAATTATAATGTTGATTATTTTAATGTATGCCAAGAAAGGATTTTTAAAATCTGTCATAATTTTCTTAACTTCTTATTAATTACTATAAGGATACAAAGAAGTAAAAATTATAAAAGGAAAAACAGGTATCTATCAGGTTTAACTTCTTAGAGAAATAACAAAAGGCAGCTAATGCAATGATGTTAGTGAAGGCTGCAAATCCTGTACTCCCTTAATATCCACAAGGAAAGACCATAAGGAATTGTCTTACTGAGGAAGACAACATGTCAATGAATTCTGAGGTCAAATTTTATTTAACTTTAAAGACTTTCACGAGATTGAATCTGCTTAACCTGATTGCTCCCACCATAAATTCAACTGTAGTAGGGGAGAAATATGTCAACAAATTGTGCATATAATTAAACACAAACATTTACTGAGTATTTATTCTGCAAAAGGCACCAAAAAGCAGAAGCTACAGGCCCTCTGGGAGCTTAAGACACGCTGAAGACAATTATAATTTCACTTATGACATCAAATGAACCATTGCTACCTAGACATGTAATTTTTTTAAATGCTACAAACTAAAAATTCTAAATATTTTGATTATTATAACAGATCTAATCTCACATTCTGTTATAACTGGTTTCAAGTGATCCCAAGGGATCACCTATCTTCTTCCTGTGACTCTTACTTGCGGGCTTATAGACACCATTAACTTAGCAAGCAACCATCAATGGCATTCAGCTCAGCTTTGTTCTCTTTTTTCTAAACATGTAGTTCTTATAATGTATTAAAATGTCAGTTTCATTTTCAAACAGAAGCTAAGAAAGTAAAAGGCAATACAAACGATGGAGGTAGGAGATGGAGCCCTGGCCCACCTACTGCTGGAAACACACTACAAGTACCACATTCAATACTTCCCAAAACACACTCTTGAACACCCTGAGAAGTTGGCAAGTAGGTAAGATTTTATAGGCTAAAGGGAAAAGTAACTGGGAGCCCAGAGAACACAGCTAATAACTCAGAGTGTCTCTGATGATTTCAAGGCACATGAGAATCAGGGCTCACCCAAGGAGGGGAGTAATAGGGACTCCCAAAAGGTGAATTAGAAATCAACCTTCTGTGCAAGTTCTGGACTCTAGTCTTTGGTTGATTATATGCGTGGCAAGTAACTTTTACCACTCCAAGGCTGCTTTTTCACTCTCTTAATGAATTCTGATGAAAGTAAGTTATTAACATACACTAATCTTTTCCATTATGATCAGTGCTTTTTTATGTTTCCTTTAAGGCCCTTCACAAAATCTAAATGGCTACTAAGAAGCTTGATCTTGTTAGTAATCAAGGAAATGTAAATCAAAGCCACCATGAGGCTATAATCTTACACCTACCTAGTTTAATGTAACAGAAAAATAAAACAACTAAACAAACCTGGAAAAAAAATGAAAATGAAAAAACATAACCCAATATTGTCAATGGGGAATGATTTAAATAAGTACAAAGAAAAAAATCCAAACAGTAGTATTCAAAAAAAGTCTCAACAAGTCCACCATCCTTCATTCCTACAAGGACAAGGATGTAATAATTTCTGTAAGTACTGGTGAATTCAGAAAGTTTTGAATCTCAGAGTTTTACTCCTATGACTTTCAAAACCACAACCCTCATAAAGGGACTGAATTTGTTTTATTTAGGGCTAGAAACTGATTGAAATTGTTTTACACACCAAAAAATATATATATCTTTTAAATACACAAACATGAGAAAAATACAGGAAAGCCCAAATCTCAGTGTTAATTACCTTCCTGTGTTCCGACACGAGCAGCCTGAGCTGCATTTCTATCTCATTGCTTGTCACAGAAGCGTCGATCGTGGACGCACACAGCGGAGGAAAGGGAGGGAGGGATGTGGTGGCCCCCGGAGCGCACACAGATTTAACTGCTTCCTCACTCATGGGTTTCCACTTGGACTCATCATTCAGATCAAACACACAGCTTTCCACTGAGTCAGAGGGCTGACAGTTTCCCAGGAACGTCTGATGATTGAAAACACAACCAATTGTTCGATACGGGTACAATGGTTTGGGCTGTTCGGCAGCCGGAGGCTCATCAGGGTTGATAGGTTTGTGGAGGTACCTAAAAAAGGTTAATCATAGTTTTATATAGTAAGAACTCAGAAATTAAGACGACAGCAGCAGCTTACTGAGGAAAAAAATTACTCTAACACTTAAGGTCATAACTACTTCCCAAGACTCAAGTTTAATATTTGTTTCTCCTTGTATTTCCACAATTTGATTACATCACATAGACTGGATGGCACATCTATGATACAGAAACCAATTTTATTCCTTCAACATAAGAATATATTCCATGCATAGCATTAAGATCACAAACATTATCCAGGTAACAAAATAATTTAGCCACACATTTTTAGGCACAACTAACTAAAATGATTATCAACCAGGGAAACAGAAAATCCAGGAAAATGAGAAGAGGGTTCAGGGCTGTGCCTTCAGGAACTCCCACATTTGAGGCAAAAAGAAGGAAAACAGAACAGCCAGAGAGGAATTACGAAAGCTGAAATACAGTGCTATGAGAGAAGCTAAGAGAATGTTCCAGGAAGGAGGGAACATTTCAATCTATCAAAATCTGATGACACCAAGAAAATGTAAACTGGATTTACCAACAAGGAGTTGGTAACCACATCAAGTTTTCAAAAGAAATGACTTACAACTTGAATTTATTTTTAGGCTTAGGAACAATCATCAGAAAACACACATGCCTGGACTTCCTTGGCAGTCCAGTGGTTAAGATTCCATGCTTCCACTGCAAGGGGTGTGGGTTCAATCCCTGGTCTGGGTACTAAGATCCCATATGCCGCATGGCCCACCCCTCACCCCCAAAAAAAGCCCAAAACTATATGCCAATTATACAAAATTAAAAGCAAGCATAATTTATTTTTTATTAATATCATGTTGGTAAAGAATATTCTAGGTATACAAATTTTCTTAGCTTAGTTCATAGCTATCTTAATTGAGGTAATTTTTTAACATACCCCAAATTATCAATATGTGCCTTCTGATACCATCAATAAAACAGAACCTACAGTTGACATTTACACCTTCATGCTAATATCCCTATAAACGTGGCTGACAAACCTGTGTCCTGTTAAACTCTCCCAAAAAGTCACGGTCCCATCAGTGCCACACGTCATGACCCATGCATGGGGCACGCCCTTGGCCTTGGTCCCGACACAGACAAAAGCTTCCAGCCCGTACCCGAGCAGGAGGCTGCAGAGAAGGTTGGCATGGTCTTCACAGTCTCCCTGCAAATAAAAGGAAGTAACATGAAGTACTTACTCCCTCACATGGTTTCCACATTAAATATTTAAATACAAAATTGCAATTAAAAAGTGTTAACTAAATTTTTACTTTTAATCATTTAGTCCAGTGTTAAGCTAAAACAATGAGGGGAAAAAACAATGTGCATTTTAGAAGCACCCGTTTTACAAAGTCAGTGCCTACAAAACTGACAGTCTTAACATACACTTCAAGACTCCATAGTTTACAAAGAACTCACACAACATAGAAGCAGTAAGAATTTTTTTGAAGATTTTTTTTTTGATGTTGACTGTTCTTAAAGTCTTTATTAAGTCTGTTACAATATTGTTTCTGTTTAATGTTTTGGTTTTTGGCCTTAAGGCACATGAAGCCAAACCCTCATCCCCTTAACCACCACGGAAGTCCCCCCAAAGCAGTAAGAATTTAAAGATAAATAGCTAAAGGGCAAGAACACACAAGATGACAGGTCATAGGGGAGGAAATTCCAATAAATGGGAAAACACTCAAGCTTAAAACAATGATTTAAAGTATCTATACTTGATCATTTTAAGGAAATACACAGAAAAAATGACTGGATAAAAAAACAACAATGGCTGTCATTAGGGCAGGTTATATACAGCTTCCCTTTTTCTTGTGCAAACTCTCTTTGATAATGTTATATTACTTTCACAATTTAAAAAAATTACAAAAACTACAAAAATAATAGAAAATATCCATTTTCTGTGAAAAACCTTATTTAAATGTTACACAGTAAGGCCACAATTATATGAAGATATGTACTTCAGTATAGGACTACAGTTAACATATAAAAGCAAAATAACTACTGATTTCAGAGTTAGAACGAGGGATGAGCTCTCAGCCCCCAAATTCTGCACTGGTAGCTCTACACTGCTGTCTTTTAGTTAACAATAATAAAACAAACAGCATCTTATAAATGTTAAACTGACTTTTGAAAACCATTAATACCCAACCTTTTAGACCCAGTTAGTCATTTCTGTACACTGAGATTCTATATTAGGAAAAAATCTCAAAAGAAAAAAATAACAATATAACCAAAGATATTCAATGCAAAAATTCATTCACAGTGATATCAAAAATTTGGAAGCAATCCTAACTTACCCAAAAGAAACAGTTCCTATGATGGCAAAACCATTAGGTAGATTTTATGTATTAGCTAATAAAAATTTCATTCAGACATTCAAAGCTGGAGATCATAGTATCTGAGCAACACATGGGAAAACGTTCATAGCATAAAGCTAATTTATAAAGCAGGGCACACAATTCTATTTATATCAATTGTAGTTATGGGGAAAATATATATGCGGGAGAAAAACATAAAAATATATAAATAGATGAAAAATAGAATTATGGGTGAAATTTCACCTCTATTATAAAACTAATGTTTTGTAAGAAAAATATTTTTAATAATTTTCAAAGTTCAAGATGTGCTTTCTCCTCAAACGAACTCAAGAAAAGGAAAGAGTGAATCAAAAGGGGTGATTATTTGTATTACAAATGAATTATTTAGGAAATCATTTTAAATATATACAATATATTCCTACTATATTTGAAGTTCTTATTTTAAGTTTAAACCTATACATACAACTTTTGGGAATTACAACTTGGAAATAAATAATTTTTTCAATAAATAATGTTTAACTGTTTTCAACTGTCTTAAGATAAAATCCTTCCAATCAACAATCAATCTCTAATCTAAGTGGTTTTCCCATTCTGTAAGCTCTGCCTTGTGCATACCTATATGTACTGCTTATACAACTTCAGACTAAAAATTATTTCAAAACAATAATAAAGAAATTTTTTTTCATTCTGTTTCAAAAGAGTTGGAATGCTAAAGAGTCTAATTTTTATAATACTATCAACAATTTTGACACAGGAAATTAGAAAATACCCCAGTATATACTTTTTTCCTAAGTTAATTCTTTTACAAATATACCATCAACTCACAGTAACTACAATGTACTGGTTTTTAGTTCTAGTATGTGTGCAGGATACCTTGTTTCTACAGAGAAAGGCCAGCAGAGTGCACCACTGCTCCTGTTTACCTCCTCCTCCGATAACAGGGGCTCGTTCATAACCAAGGACATTGACAAATCTTGCTGCTTGCCTTGGAGTGTCCAAAAGCCTTCCAGCTCGAAGTGGTTTGACATAAGAACAGACTGGTCTGTTAATCCCATTTTCATCCTGGAGGGGAAGGGAAAACATTATCTGTAGTGAGAGTTAATCATTTCCAATTTTAACACTTTGTCTCAGAACACATCAGAGAGAAAATAATCCTGGACACCACTTGAGCACTTGCTTACCCTGCATCCAGCACTAGGCTACTGAGTGTTGTATATACAATTTTTCTCCTAATTCTCATAACTTCTCTTCAAAGCCTATGACATTAAGAACTTAAATCATCATATGACCTGGCAACCCCACCCATGGATATGTGTCCAAACCAACTTAAGTCAGTGTCTCAAAGACACAGCTACACACCCATCCCATCACTTAAGCATCACTCACAACTGCCAAGGCATGGAAACACCTAAGTGGATGTCAATGGATGAGCTGATAAAGAAGGCATGGGGTATTATTCAGCTCTTCCATGGGCCATTTCTCTGGTCCACTTCCCCCTCCCTCCCTGTCCTCTCTGCTCCAACAGGGCAGTGAATGACCACATTCCAGACTACACACACAAGGGGGAGCCAGTTATACTTGGGCTGGTTTCTCTTCGCCCTTGTCCCAATGTCGCTGCTCCCCTCCTGCCTGTCAGTCAACATACAGACAAGGCTGTCAGGAAGTCAGAAGACATTCCCACATTCCCATCACCAACCAACTATGCCCTCCATTCCCAAGCTTCTCATCTAGAAAGTGAACCACCTTCAGCCTGTCCTAAAAGATAGAGAATGTAGGGAAAAGCTACACAAATGTACAGGATCTGAGGCACAGTACTCACAACACCACACTCATATGCTTTCATAGCACCTACACAAGACTGAATACATAGAAAAATATCTGAATGGTTCCTCGGAAGCTATTAAAAGAAAAGGATCTGGATCTGATTATTTATATTGGTTTACTAATGACAGAAAAAGGGCTTAGGATACAGAAAAAATAGAGGCAGAGATACATAACTGAAATGCTATAGTTAAATATGAGTGGTTAGCAGCTTAGAGATCTTGGTTGAATAGACTCATTACATGTAATACTCTTTGTCTTAAAAAATACCCTAACAAAAAAATATATGCCTACACTACCAATACTACACCTGAAAGCTGAATTTACATGTAAATTGCAAAGTGTCCTACTACTTATCTAGTACAAAGTATCAATGGAGGACACACTCCAAATTAAACAAAATGAGTTTTCATCTAGTTTAAACATGTTCAAAAATGGTTTAGAAAAACAGTAACTGAAAATAAAAAGCATAATAAAACAAAGATTGTGATATGTCACTCACCTACTTACTACTGTCAAATTATTACAAAATCAGCATTTTGTTTTACAAATAAATTTTCACTTGTCTGGAATAAATACATTTTACAAGTTAAAGTTAATTGAAATTGATGTTTACAACCAGTAAATCTCAAATACAGCTGTGAAACTTCTCATACAATTTACAAACCTGTGCAAAAATCTTCACCAGTCGTGAATTGTGTGAGGGTCGAATCTGCAAATATTCTCTCCACCACTGCTTAGCATACACAAGAAATAACCGCTCTTTCTCTGCAGTTTTCTGACGTTCCAAAGCAAGCTTGAAATTTAAAAATATACTTATCAATTTATATTCATTCTCTTCAATAATGATCACAAAATATGGAAGAAGTCTACGCACCTCCTCCATCTTTAGCACTACTCAATCAGGACACCATCATCTGTCATCCATAAGGGCCCCTAACTGGCCTCCCTGATCTCACACTTCCCAGGACAATCCAGTCTCCATGCCAATCATGTCTGACTCTCTGTGACCCCATGGTCTCTGGCCTGCCAGGCTCCTCTGACCATGGGATTCTCCAGGCAAGAATACTAGAGTGGGCTGCCACTGCCTCCTCCAGGGTATCTTCCTGATACAGGGATCAAACCCAAGCCCCCTGTGTATCCTGCATTACAGGCAGGTTCTTTACCAGTGAGACACCTGGGAAGACCCCATACCAGTCAGAGCTACCTTTTTTGATCCAGACAAAAATTTCTAAATAACATCATACTATCATTGTCTTGCTTACAACTAATAAATGATAATTTTCTAAGAAGAGAACACTTCCTAGGATTTACAAGTATGAAAACACACAAAGAAAAGAAACTCAGGCTTATTTACCTGTGTATTCACTACTTCTTGAGATAATGTTTGATTGAGCGGTGGGTACATCTCAAGTTTTATGTTTAAAATTCCTACAGAAACTTTAGATTCTGTGCCTGTAAATGTAAATAAATGTAACTTCAGAAGTTTCAATACTCAGTATATTTAGTCAATCAAAGCTTAACCAAACTAATTTAAGAATTTTGTGCTTTATCACTTACACGGAATAAAGACAATATTCAAACACCTTTTATATTCATATTAAAAACAACCCAACTCAAATTGGTTTTTATTTTGTTCAAAGACTTTTATCTAGTTATAAGGAGATTACCTGTTTTCCTAGCTTCTCAATCACTTTTAAGGGACTTTTTCAGACCTAAAGGATTTATGAGTCGATTTTTATCTTCATTAAAAACAAAGTCAAAGCAACTGTTAATGCCTCATTCTCAGAAAATATTTATACATTTTGCCACATATAGTAATTTCCATTTATCCCTTCCCATTTTTCACATTACATATGAGTACAAATTTTTAATCCACTCCTGGACTTAAAGAATTAGAAAACAAATATACTTCACACCATAACTATTTAATATTTTTGTGATAAATAAGAAATTTCCAGGTCATTACTATGGTTATTTTGTTAGGCTTATATTTAAAAACAAACAATGGGTATCTCTTTTGAAAATAAATCTCCTACATAAAGCTTTTTCCCTACTATTTACTTAAGGAAAAATGTATTCTGGGTCTAACCTATCAAAATCTAACTTACTAAAGCTCTATTGTCCACTGGTCAAGCTTAACTCTGTAATCAAATTTTAATACCAAAATAATTCCATTATACGTAGTGCTTACAACAGTGCAGCTTTTATTTTGCCTTTCATTCCACTAGCAAATATGTATTATATATCAGGGAATCTGCAAGAGCCCAGGGACACAATGGTGACAATACAGGTACCATGTCCGATCTCCAAGGGGACACTGACGACAGCAGCACTGAGCAAGTGTGTGAGCCCCTGTCCCACCTGGAAGAGGTGAGAGGAACATCTACTCCAGATTCTGTAAGAACCTACCCTGGCAGGGCTGGGGTACAAGCTATCATGTATGGGTGCATGCCTACATGTTTGTGTAAAGAAATCTTTATTTTTAGCAAATATATTATATTTAGCAAATATATTATAGCAAATCTTGAGAGGAAAAGCCCTCAAGATTTATGTATCTCCCAGAAATTTTTTTTTCCTTAAAACAAGGCAAAAGTGACAGAGAAGTCCAATATTCACACTACTCAAGACACTTCCCCAGACTCCAATACTAGAGACCAACTGTAATTCCAACAAATTCTTCCTACGTGTTTCCCTCCTGGTTTACAAAAGCATTTTTAAAACATAAAATATATTTACATATAAACTGTGTCTATAAAAAGGTAACAGTGATATTAATCATCATACCTACACCCATAAGTTCCACAGTAAGATTGGTCACTCCATTTTCTGAGCCCAACACTGATCGCCATTCAAGAAAATAGGATGCAACTAAAGTGGTCTCAGCAAATATGTCTGTCTTGATTAGCACCATATGAACTGGGTCACTTATTGATAACATTGTGGTAGAGTCAGCCATTCTAGTTCCATCACCTAGCAACATAAACCAAAAACATTACACCACATGACATATCCAGTTAGGCCAAGGTAAAAGAATATATTCACTGAAAAGGATACTAATAATAAACATATAAAACCAACAGAATAAGTCAGCAATGCCTCAGAAAGCATACAACAGAGTGGGAATAAAAGAATAGTCCCATTTCTGTTGCTAACTTTTCAGAAGACTGGTGGAACTGTGATAAGTTATCTAGTTGCTTAATGCATATTGGTGTTTTCTAACCTCTAAGAGGTTAAGTCTATTCTTCAAAAGTACATAAATTAAGTATATGCTACCACTATAAAAATCCTTGAAATATGTCAACATTATTCCCCAAAATATCTTTATCCTTAAAGCTCCAGGAGTTAGTGATGGACAGGGAAGCCTGGCGTGCTGCAGTTCATGGGGTCACAAAGAGTCAGACACGACTGAGCTACTGAACTGAACTGAACTGAAACCTCTAGGAAAAAACACTGTATTATCTACACAAAAGTGAAAGATCCAGCACCTTGGAGCTACCAATTTAAGCCAGTAACTGCCTTATTAAGGTAATACATTTCACCAGGTAAAATATAATAAAATTTCATGTCAATGTATGACAAAAACCACTACAATATTGTAAAGTAATTAGCCTCCAACTAATAAAAATAAATGAAAAAATAAAAAAAATAAATAAAATTTTAGTAGTGCACTAGCTATTTCAGCAACCTAAAATTCTGAATCTATAATGCTACAACTTTGTTAAATTTACAAATATAAACATTTTGACATCCACAACTAAGATATGACACCTTTACAGGAAGAAAAAATGTAAAATAATTATAGTAATCGAGTATCATAATTTTAAAGTCTTAAAAATGAGTTATAGACTCACGTCTAAACTCTTACTTGTAAAAGTTACTAACATCGTAAATCAAGCCATCTTTCAGAAATGAAGAGGATCCCGTCTCATTCTCCACCTAACAAGCATTTAAATTTTTACTACTAAACAATCAACCATTAAAAGTCAAAAGTAACCTTCAGGGAAAACTAGCCAAAAATAAAGCAAGAAGGTAGGTAGTACTAATTTACATAGGAAAAAAGCAGTAAGGGAAAAAACAAAAAAAACAAAAGACTGGGGAGATTCATCCATTATAAATCTCTTAAGCAAAAGTTGTTAAAGTTGTTCTATGATAAGATTTAATGAAGATTTACAAAATTAAATGACAGTTTATCATTGCTCCTTACCTAAATTTTCTCTGTGTACTTCAAGTAAAAAGCCGTCATGAAAATCTGGTTCACAGGCACAAGGAACAGGTTTAGAACGAAAACGTTGGTTTCGAAAATGTAAACATAAAGTAAAGGTTGAACAAGCTTGTCCAGGTAAAGGCTCAGGTTCTTGCAGATGTTCCAAGAAAGCTTTTCCACCCAAAACCTGAAGGTAAAGATACCTCCGTGTTGGATCAATATTAGCTGTAAAGTGTAGCAATACATATGAGGAAACTGCCAATCAACTTAAGCAATGTGATCAAGACAACAGGAAATAACTTGACAGAAATAAAACCAAAGACTAAAAAAAGGAAGAGTAACAAGTCTACCATATACCAGGCTCATCTGTACCCAGGGAAGAAAAAATACGTAATAGGATATCTTTTTCTGATTTATATTTTGGCTACTTTCTTCCAGCTAGACAGGAATTGGAGCCAAGGTTTAGTATATCTTTTTTTCTTTAGTTTCTTATACAACAAATCATCTCGGACAATTACCAACTCAGTAAGTATACTTATTAGATAATTACACTGCCATTAAAAAAGGCTGTACAATTTATAAAATATATTAATAAAACATGAAAAACAGATAGTCCTGTTTTTGTTTCCACTCAGCTATACATTAAATCTTTGATACACTTCATGCAAAATAGAATCTAAGTTTTCTGGATGATTTATCAGAAAAATATAAGTACCTCATTCTGGAAAAATAATCGAAATGCTTTCTCTCAAATACAAAACACTAAGCACATCTATATGCAATACTATCCACAACTAAATTAATGTTAAAAAGAAATAAACATACTTTTTTTTAATAACGTTGATTGTCTGTCAGTAAAACAAACAGGTTGTTTTGGAGAGGAAGGGAGTTCTTGATCAACATTATCCTAGAATGGCAGAAAAAAAATCAAAACAAATTAGAAAACAAAAATTACAGTTAAGTAAGAAAATACCAATAATGGGACTATGAACTGGACCAAAAGTAGACAGGATAAAACCCCCTCAAAATGCCCTTACTCTCCTACCACAGGTAGAATAATGAAAAGTCTGCTGAAACAGTAATGCAACTAATTGGTCACTCCTAAAGTCTAACATGAAGGAATTCATGATCTTCAAGCCATGTCCACAGAATGCTAAAACAAATTTTTAACACTTTACAGAAGGTTAAACTTTCTCCAAACCTCAAATGACATCTGGCTTGTGGTTCCACCAGGAACAGAACTGATTTTAATAAGGAAGTGACATTCACACAGCAGAAGCTATTACTAGGTCAGTTTTTATAACAAATGAGTTTATAAACCTCAAAAACCAAAAAAGGATGCTGGACTAAAATACTTATTCTCTGGTGTATTACGAAGTCCATCCAATTTCCACATTATGTTACCCAGGTATTGAGGTCACAGTCTCTCATTATTGCCTCACTTTCAAAAGACCTACTTACTAATTTGTGCACTGAGAGGCGTCACCTCACTACTGACCTATTTGTGTGAAAAGATTTGAAAGTTCTTATGCAGACAATTAATTCCTTAAAGAAACTAACAATGTGTTCATCTTAGGGAACACAGCACCAAACAATATGTTTATTTCAATAATAAGCTTTGTGTAGAATGATTCCAGAGTATTAATTTAGAAAAAATATAGCTGGAGTGAACTAATTTGACTAATACACACACTTAAAGTTTCAGACCTAGAGAATAAGAGAAAACTCTCACTGTAGAGGGAATAATTAGGTCCATAATTTCAGTCTCACTGATACATAATCCTACCAGCTCAGCGGATATTACTAGACACAACGGTCTTATTTAAAAAGTAGTTTCACTAAAGAGAGGCCCCAAATCAGACCCTAAGAGTGGTGTTAAACATGAGAATGTACTTAGACTCTCAAATGTTTTCCTCTAAAAGATTACTCACAGAAACAAAATTAAGTTCTTTCATCACATCATCAATGATTCCCCGGCGTTTAAGGGCTTTGATCAAATCTTCGGTTGATAGTTGTTGTTGATCAGGTGACAATTCTTCCCGAATAGTCTCAGCAAGGATTTCTCTTATCCTGCCATGGACATCCATCTAGGTAGAAAACTCGCATTAGGACTTAAAACGTTATAGGGCAGTCAAAGACAGCCAACTAGCTAACATCTTTCCAAATTACTGACCCCAAAATAATAATAATGAGTAGTTAGATTAAACTCAGGAAGGTTTCTCAAGTAACAGTGTGAGATTGTTACCGAAATTCACTGAGAATAAAGGTAAGATTTTTTAAAGGAAAAAAAAACTTTAAGGATAAATATTTTTAACTCTAAAAATAAGCTCTAAGCTTATCTATTACATTTGCTAGCACTTTCCCACAAATAACACTCGACTGAAACCAATCTTTTGAGAGTAGAGCAGAGCAGTGGAGGAGCGACCAAAGGCCAAAAGTCAACTCAACCTTTTAGATGTGGCCGAGAGTTAACGGAGTGACCCTTTACGAGTCTGGGGGAGACGGTAGGGGGTCAGGACCGCCGCGGGGCAGAGACGCTGACAGTCGGCACGGGGCGACGGCTGGAGGCCCTACTGACCCCGAGGACCAGCAGCCCCTCCATGCCGCCTCCCGTGAATGACGGCCTCCGGCCCCACAGCCCTCTGCCCGCGGCTCCGCGGTGCCCGCCGGCCCAGCCCCCGCCGGCCGGCCGCCTCACCTTGCTCAGCTGCTGGTGGATGAGCTGCTTCAGCTCGGACGCCTTCTCCGGCGGCAGCGACATGCTGTGCTCCCCCTCGGGCGCGCCGGCGGCCGCAGCGTCTCCGCGGCGGAGCCAGAGCCCGCGACCGCTCGCCTCGCGCGCTCCCGGGGCCGCCGCGTCAGGCCGGCGGGGGAACCGGGCGGCTTCAACTGCCGTTTCCAAACGGCGGCCGGGCTGCCCCCGCGACGCCTGTCAGTCCCCTTGGCCGGCGCCCCGGCTCGGCCCCGCCCGCAGACTCCGCGCCGTGCCCGCTAGCCGGTTCCCGCGCGCCGCCCCGGCCGCCACCCCCGCCCGCAGCCCCTTCCGCGCGCCGCCCCGGCAGGCAGTGTGACGGGCACCTAAGGACCCCGCGACCGGGGCCTCGAAGGACCCCAGGAGCCGTCCACCCGCACTTCCGGCCGCTGGCTCTTCGTGCCGCCGGCGAAATCATGTTCGTCCCCTCCGGGGACTCGGTCCCCGACCTCGCGGGGTGCACCCTCCTAATGGTGAGTCGGGGCAGGGGGCGGGCGTCAGAGCGGCCCCCGGACGCGCGCGAGTCTGCGGGGCCGGGTCCTGGTGGCTGAGAGCGGAAGGAGCGGGGACGTGACCTTGCGCTCCGCTGGTGCCGTGCGGGCCACTCGCTGTACCTTTCTTCCTGGAAAATCGTTTCTCAGCTAGCTCTGTACCGTGCTTAAGCTTGGGAGTGATTGTCATTACTCAGGAAACTGCAGACGGGCTGGTAAAGACTTGCCGACAGCACGCGGTTCTATCGCGGTTCATTCATTGTCTCAGTGAGCTTTGTGCTGTGTCAGAGTGTAACAGTAAGACCAGGTTCTTGTCCTCAAGGAGTTTGCAGTCTAGTTGGGAACATAACGTAAGTCAAGTTAGAACGTTGAAAAGGGTACAGAAAAACCCTGGGATTTATTGGGAAGGGGAGGGATACAAAGACCTGTTAAGAAAAGCTTTGTATGTGGAATTAAAAAAAACAATATAGAACAGATTGGATGAAATAGGTGAAAGGGGTCAAAGGTACAAACTTCTAGTCAAAAATAAATCCTAGAATGTAATTTGAAACGTAATGACTATAGTTAACATTGTGTTGTATGTTTGAAAGTTGTTAACAGGGTAGATCTTAAAAAGTTCTCATCAGGCTGATTCATGTCAATGTATGACAAAAACCACTACAATATTGTAAAGTAATTAGCCTCCAACTAATAAAAATAAATGAAAAAAAAAGTTCTCATCACAAGAAAAAATAATTTTATGACTGAGTGGTGACGAATGTTAAGTAGACCTAATGCCGTAATCATATTGCAGTGTGTACAGATGTCGAATCACAATGTTGTGCACCTGAAACACATATATGTCAACTATGTATCAATTTTTAAAAGGACGATGGTAATAGAAAAGTCACTTATTGACAATTTTTATCATAATGCAAGAAATGTCAGTGGGGACTTCCCTCCTGGTCCAGTAACTAGTATTCTGTGCTTCCACTACAAGGGGCATGGGTTTGATCCCTTGTCAAGTGACTAAGGTCCTACTTGTGCAGCTCAAAGCAAAAAAGAAGTGTCAGTGAATGATACAGTGTACTGAGGAAGAAAATTTGACTTCATATCAAAGTGTCTCCCTGAAAAATATTCGTTAATCACAAAAGGGAAAAAGTATTTTTGCAGGAGATACCTGGCAGAAAGAAAACATCCTATAGAAAATAATACCCACAGGTTACTAGCAGTACCCTTGACGGTGAAGAGGGAAGCCATATTGGATTGAAGAAATGGGAGAAGACATGGAGATGTGTATGTTTGTGCTTTTGTTCCTGAATTCAGAGATAAAGTTCCTGCTTGTGTCCTAGTGGACGGACTGTAAGGAATTTGGGCTCTGGAGGGACACTGAGAAGTGACAGCGTGTGAAAAGGGAGTTTTTTAGAAGGAAAGATTTTAGAGGGTGTGAATATGCTGATGGGAAGAATCCAGTAGTGAGGAAGAAACTAAGGATACTTGAGAGTGAGGGTCTAACCAAAGTAGCAGAATCTTCAAAAAAGGGAAAGGGAATTAAAGGAGGTAACCAGGGGATTGGTATGTGAGGGCACAAAGTGGGAGGCTGCTCTGAGGGACCCATTGAGGCCAAAAACTAGCAATTGCTGGAAGAGTGCAGAGGAGGAGGTATAGTGAAGAGAAACTTTGGAGACAGGATCAATGAAAATTAGTCCTCTGCTGCTGTGGCTGCTGAGAGGAAGGGAAGCAGGTCCCTGGTTTAGGTAACTGGGTGAGTAATTGTTGCTGTTTTCTAAAGTGCAAAGTAGGGAGCAGGTTAGGCAGATGCTTTGTTTTGTACCTGCTGGTTTTGACATAACTGTGTGGAGATAGCCATTTGGCTGTGGAGTTCAGGTGAGTGTTTGGGGTGTAGGTAGAGATGTGGTAGTTGGCTGTTTGAAGTCATGGAGAGAGAGAGAGAATGTATGTGTGTGTGAGAGAGAAAGAGAGCGAGCGAGTGTATGTGTGTGTGTGCGCGCAGCATGAAAAGAAGCTCCCTCCAACCCTTAGGCACGAATGAAGCAAACGGAAAGAAGACCCAGGAACTTTGTTGTTCACACCTCACAGCCTCTGCACCTGCTTGCCCACTGCCTGACCTCATCATTTCCCAAGTCTTTGTGTGACTGTCTCCATTACCTCTTTCAGGGCTGTAGTTACTGGTCACCTGAAGTGACTGTTTCCTGACCACCCCTTTTGAACTTGCAGTCACCCACAAACACACACACCCTTACTGACTTAAATGTTTTCTATAGTACTTACCACTATGTATTTTACTATCTATTTTGTTTGCCACAGCAAACCACCCCCTCCCTAGATGGAAACTCTACAAGGGCAGGAACTCTGATCCATTTGTTTATTTTGCATCCTCAGTGCCCAGAACAGGGGTTGACACATAGCAGGTATTCAGTAAGTATGCAGTCAGTAGTCTCCAGGTGGAGCTAATGAAAGGCTCAGAACCCAGGTGTGATGCACCTGAGCATTGGTGTCTAGTACCTGTGCTGTGATTGTTGTCTTCTGTCTAAACTTCTTAAAGTGCTGCTGATTTGGATAACTTAATGAACTTTTTTTTTTTTTTACTGTTTCAGCCAGCAGTATCTGTTGGAAATGTTGGCCAGCTTGCAATAGATCTGATTATTTCCACACTGAATATGCATAAGATTGGTTACTTCTATACTGACTGTCTTGTGCCAATGGTTGGAAACAATCCATATGCAACTGCAGAAGAGAATTCAGCGGAGCTCAGTATAAATGCTGAAGGTGTGTTATATCCTTCCATGAGGCAGAGTTGTGTCAAGTCGCAGCCAGATTCTCCCTGGGTGTCCGTTGGCACCTGGAGTGGCTCTTTAGAATCCACAGTGGTGCCCTGCTCTCCTGCACACACCCTGGATTACAGCCCCCTTGAGAGATATGCCTGTATTTGTACCCTTGGATAGAATGATTTTTAACACAGGGTTTCCCCCTGTTATCCTCAGTTTTACTTTCTGTCCTCCTGGCACATGTAAGCATTGCTAACACTGAGTTCAGACCTATGTGTTTAATGTGCAGTGTTCCACGCAGGCTGAAGTCATCTGTTACACAGTGGTAGCATTCACCGTAATGCACACTGACCTGGCTCAGAGAGGTGAGTCACTTGACTGCAGGAGGCCTAGGCCCTTCCCACGCCACCCATCTCCACAGTTCCCTGCTGGGCTGTCAGTTGGGATTAGTCATGGCCCACCGGAGAAGGCAATGGCACCCCACTCCAGTACTCTTGCCTGGAAAATCCCATAGACAGAGGAGCCTGGTGGGCTGCAGTCCATGGGGTCGCTAAGAGTCAGACACAACTGAGCGGCTTCACTTTCACTTTTCGCTTTCATGCATTGGAGAAGGAAATGGCAACCCACTCCAGTGTTCTTGCCTTGAGAATCCCAGGGACGGGGGAGCCTGGTGGGCTGCTGTCTATGGGGTCGCACAGAGTCGGACACAACTGAAGCGACTTAGCAGCAGCAGCATCAGGGCTCACAGTGTACAGACCAACTACGGTGTTCCTCTGGCCTCTGTATTTTCTGAAACTGGACTTAGGATTAAAGGCTTGATTATTTAGAAGCTAAATATTTTTGACCAGAATACGTGAAAGGTGATGTTACATCACATGAGAAAGGTGCTGGGAAACAGGATCTTACCAACAAACAAGATGTGCGTGAAACTCTGGTGAAGGGCAGGAGTGCTTCTCTGTGCTGCAGAAGTGAGGTGTCATGGACATCAATTCAGCCTGCCCACTTCCCTGGTTCCTGAGCTTCCAGCTTCAGCCCACTTTGTCCCAAACATGCCTGGTGGTCAGCACCCTTGCTGATGGAACAGTATCAGAAACCAAACCTGGTCTTGAAAATGGGGTCATTTGTTATCAGGGGAATCCTCTAGGTTTACAATCAAAGAAGAGAAATAGTTTTTGATAATTTTCTTACAGTTAAATTTCAGCAATGAATCTATTCCATAGAATAAAGCCCATGGGTGAATTCTGAGGTACTTTTAAAGTGTTTTAGCTAAATGATGTAGTGCATATGTTCTGTGTTTTAATTGGCAAAAATCTTTAGGGACTTCCCTGGTGGTCCAGTGGTTAAAAATCCACCTTCCAATTCAGGGAACACAGATTTCAATCCCTGTTTGGGGAGCTTAAGATCCCACATGCAGTGAGGCAATTAAGCCTGTGTGTTGCAATTAAGACCAGATGCAGCCAAATAAATATATTTTTTAAATATTTAGATACAGAATTTTTCCTAGTTCAGTTTTGTTATTAATTTCTCATGTATGACTCCTTAATTTTAACTATCATGTGGTTTCATTCTCTTATACTTGCAGTGTATGCATTGCCTTCAAAGAAACTAGTGGCTCTTCAGTTAAGATCCATTTTTATTAAGGTTAGTATATTGCTTTTGTCTTAGTTTATTAAAGTACAGTATAATGAAAAAATACTCATTATTAAGATTCAAAAATCATTTTCTTTATGCAGTTAAGCAGTCTGAGTTTATAGAGAAATACTCATAAAATTTCAGAGTTGTCACTATTATTTCCTGAATATATTGGGACATATAGCTTGGGTCCTATATATTCCTGATTCAGGTACCATGGGTGAAAAAATTTAAGCATATGAATATTACAGGTGTATTCTATTTGCATTACATTTCAAACCCCTGGCATCTGCATAAAAATTACATATGTCTGAATATACACTCTTGAATCCAGCTTCTCTCCCCTCCCGCTGTCACCACTCCGGTCCAGCCCCTGTCCTCTCTCATGCCCCTAATTCTGCTTCTGCACCACTCACCCCACAGGCTGTTCCACCCCAGGTCCTGGAAACCTCAGTCAGATCCTGTAGTAGCTTCCTATCTCCAAGCAAGTTCATAGCCCTCACCACTGTCTGGCAGGAATGTGTCCACACTGACCTGGCAGCCACTAGACACCTGGAGCTATTTAAGTTTTGTTTCATGCATTAAAAGTAGAGTGAAAGGTCCACATCCCAGGTCAATCACCTGTTCACCTCTTGCCACACCTGGCTGATTCTCTGTGTGCAGGTGCACACAGTTTCCTTCTGCCAAACAGTCCAAAGCAGGCGGGTGCCAGCATCACCTAGCACATGTCTTACAGGAAGGAGAGTCTCCTTCATAACTACAGCACACCACACACCTAGGAGATCAGCATTAGAGAATACTCAGATTTCCCCAGCTGCTCCCCACACACCCATCGGTTCTGGATCCAGGCAAGGTTCGAATATTGCCTTGGCTATCAGACCTTTTTAGCTGGTGTTCAGCATGGAGCTGACTTCCTCCTGTGATTCACAGCACCAGCTGTGCTGAGGGACCCAGACAGGCATTTCGCCTTCTGGCTTACCTAACTGTTGCCCTGATCAGATTTGGGGCAGAAATTTATAGTTAGTTCCTTATCTTTCACCTTCAGTGCAAGGACAATAAGTGGATCTCAAACTAACTATAAGTTTAGCGTACATAAACTGTTAATAGTATCATCACAAAGACTGATGAAATACTATGTAGACTACTCTTGTTACAATCTGAGATCTAACTTTGTATTTTCATTGTACTCTTTCCATGGTATACAAAGTATAAGTCAAAGTCATTCTGTGAAAAACTGCTTTCCTGGGTGAAATGCAGCGGCTGCGCAAAAGTGGTGGTTCTTTCTAGCAGCCACTCGTATCACCGCAATGACCTCCAGCTGCGCAGGTAGGTCTGTGTCTCTGGACAAGTATTTTTGTTAAGATGTGTACAGTTATTAGGATGATTTCTTTACTAAAAGGTTAAAACAAAACTTTAACGCCATCCTTTCTTTTTCTCCCTGGAATTTAGAAAGAAGGAGGTGAAGATTGTAGGGAGATAGGGGGAGTGGGGGCCTTTGGTGTTCCCAGGGCTGCAGCACTGGGGTCTAGGGTAGCAGTGGGGTGCTTCTGGGGCTGCACTCTGCTGTGTGTCTCTGGGACTATGCTCTGCTGTGTGTGTCATGAGCCCACAGCACCTCAGGGCTCAGCTGATGTCGAGAAAGGAGAAGGGGTACCTGAAGTTTATCAGTTGACTGTCTTTCAAAGACTGGATCAGTGTTTCTGTTCATTTCCATGTATTTAGCCATTTGTATTTGCAGAACTCCAGCTGCCTTTAAGTACAATTTCCAGGCATGTCAGATTGAATTCTTAATAGAAGATAAAATATTCAAGAGTTAGAAATCCATACTATTTATTGCATTGTCATTTGTACACCTGTAAAATCATGATGAAGAAATATCAGCTAAGAGTAACCTCTCAAAACTAGTTAATTTCTGAGACTGTCACGATAGACCACATTTCTGAGGCCCTTGTAAGAGGCCTCGTCGGGGCATGGCCATTGGGTCTTCATGCTGGCCTTGCCTTCGGTTGTTTTCCTGTCCCCAACAAAGTCTCCTAAGTATGTGAGTAGCAAGTCAGAGCAATAACTACATTACCCTTCCATAAACCGTCAGAACTTGTATTTTGCCTTACGCAACAAAATATATGGAAAACAAGATAATTTTTGCTGAAAGAACTCTTATTTGTCTTAATGTTCATATTGTGAGTGTTTAGTTAATGATATGATTGTTTCTTTCCAGTACCCCCTTCAGGTACCTTCTTACACCTTCCATGCAAAAAAGTGTTCAGAATAAAATACAGAGCCTCAACTGGGAAGAAATGGAAAAAACCCCATGCATTCCTGAAATAGATGATTCTGAGTTTTGTGTCCGTGTCCCTGGAGGAGGGATCACAAAGATGCTCTATGACGAAGGGTGAGTGTGTCTGCCTGTGTCTTTGTCCCCGAGGGTGAATGTGTCTGCCTGTGTCTTTGCTCCCCACATGATTTGAAAATGAAAGCAGGATACCTGGGAGTGTTTGGATTACTTGCTAAAACTCTGAAAATGCCCTCATTAAATAGGTGCTGAGTTACTTTCAAGGGAAAGACTGAAATGTGGTTATAGAATTCGTTCCTGAGAAGCCATATTTAATGCTTTATTGTGTGTAGCATGTTAGGGGTCCTAACACTAATTCTCTGCAACCTCTGTAGTCAGTTCTTTGTGTGGTGGTGGTGGTAAGATATACATAGTGTTAAATAAACCATTTTTAAGTGTACAGTTAAGTGGCATTCAGTACATTCACTCTGTTGTGTACCCATCAGCACCATCCACCTTCAGGATTTTGCCACCATTCTAAATAGATCTGCACTCATTAAGTAATAACTCCTTTCTTATACCTGAAAGTGTGTCTCTTATTAGAACCATCATTTCCTCCAACGTTTCTTTTTGCCTAGTCTGTCTCCCATCTTTCCTGTCTGGCTTACACCCATAGTGTATTATTTCACCTCCTCTCACACCACAGCCCCGAAGCCCTGGCTATCTAGTCGCTCCCATGTGCTCTGCAGACCACCAGCTTTGAACTGTTCTCTTGCTCTGTTCAGGCCACATCACCTATGCCTACACTGCTGTCAGATCATAGACTGCGGAGCTGAAACAACAGGAATGTGTTTGCTCACAGTTCAGGGGGCTGAACCGAGTTCAGGAGCTGACACGGCTGGAGAGGAGGCGGCAGAGAACCAGAGGGGTGGCAACCACGGAAGAGGTTTCTCTCAGCACTTTCTCTAGTGCCACTAGAGGGGCTGCCTGAGCCTCCCAGCCCTGAGTGCACAAGTGCAGGGTGAAACCACGAGGCCAGAGAGCAGTCCCTGGGCAGCTTTATGACTTTATTCACAAGGTTAGTGGCACTAGAGAAAGTGCTGAGAGAAACACACTCCTCATGGAATGTTTGGAAAATGTAGAACTATCCAAACAATATTTAAAATACTCAGCTCTGTCACCCAAAAGTAACTACCATGACCAGTTTTTTGGTCTGCTTTCTTCCCTTCGTCTTTAAAATATAGTTGAAGTAAATACCTGCATCTGCAGGATACTGCAGCTGTAGAGTTTATGCTGTTTAAAGATATCTCTCATAAAACTGACGTTCTTTTGGTTTTCTCACACAAATCTTACTGTGAGGCAGGAAAGTGCATGTGCCCAGGGAAAATGTTACATGGCTCCTAGTTCTGTCCCCACATGTAGAAGGTGTGGCGTCTCCTCGCATACGACCTGGCTGATCATCTCTGTATGAACACGGGCACAGTGTAACTGCCATCAGGAAGCAGGAAGAATACCTGATTGTTCTTTTCACTTGTTGCAGCTGTTCTAAAGAAATCCCAATTGCGATTCTGCTGAAGTTCGTTTCAGAGGGAGACAATATCCCAGATGCTCTGGGTCTGGTTGAATATCTTAATGAATGGCTTCAGATAATCAAACCACATGTAAGTTTTACTAAAGCTTAAGCCTGATTGCTCTGGTTAGGTATTCATAAACTTGCATTTTTACATACTATGTAAGTAGACCACATAAGTGAAAGTTTATATTAAATATAGACATCTTTGTATAAAATTTAGGTTGAACTTTTGAAAAGAAAGCAGCTAGCCATTAAGACTGATTTTTTTAAAAAAATGAAGATGTTGCATACTTCATTGTATTCATAGTGTTGCATTAATTATAGCAACTTGTTTATAAGGATAAACAAGTCCTCTTTGGAATTCAGGATTTTTTTTTCTTTTTTAAGTAAAACGTACAGCTAGGGAGCAATACTGTAGCTATTGGACATGCATTGTAATTTTAAAATACTTTCTCTATCACAAAATAAGAGCATTACATAAGGGAAATCAGCTAGCCTTTAGGCATAACAGAAGTAAATGAAGACTGCTTTATATAGCAGGTGACTGTCTTTTTAATTCATGCCTTTTCACTGAACAAACTGATGCAAATCATGCAACACTCATTTTTTTTTTTTCCTAACCCCTATTTCTTTTGAATTTTATTTTGCTCTGTGGACTCCATTCACACCCATTCTGGCATATCTTTATGATTTGGAATTTGAGGGAATTATCTTCAGCTGATATAAAGACAGACATTTTAAAAAAATGAATAAATAAAGACAGACATTTATGACTTTGTTTTTTTCCTTACAATAAAAGCTAGAAGTGTCAAAACCAAAAGGAACAAACGAGAGAGTTTTGTAGTGTGTGTTAAAGGGAGAGGGAGCAGTAAAGCTGAAGGACTCAGATACTCTGTTCTTCACTTGCAGTGTGAGGACCCCACAGCATCTTCCCTGCCCTGGAAAATGCCGAGTTCCTGGAGGTTACTCTTTGGCAGTGGTCTTCCCCCTGCGCTCTTCTGATCTGTTTCAGTTTTATACCTTACTTCCCAAGACACTTAACTACCAGCACAGCTGGTAAACAGCTGTATAAAAAGAATGTATTAGGAAAGCTTTACTTTCCACAGAAAAATCTCCAGGAAAAATGGATTAACACAAGGTTGTTTTTACCATGTTTTCCATCATCTACAACAAATGTAAATTTTGTGCAATAAATTGTTTTCTAAGTAATTTTGTCTGAAATGTGTTCTTTTATTTATTTTTTTTTGCTCAGACTTCTATATTAGTTTCCTATGTCTGCTATAACAAATTACCATAAACTGGATAACTTAAGACAAAATAAGTCTATTATCTTAAAATTGTGGATGTCAGAAGTCCAGAATAGGTCTCCCTGGGCCAGTAACAGTGCTGGCAGGACTGTGTTTCCTCTGGAGGGTCTTGGAGAGAATCGTTTCCGACCCCTCTCCAGCTCCTAGAAGTTTCTGTGTTCTTTGGCTCATGGCTTCTTCCTCCATCCAGAATAATTGCCCCATCTCAAAGAATTTTAGTATGAAAGAAAAGGTTTTCATTTTTGCATGCCTAATACATATCAGTCCCTTTTAACCTGCTATTTTGTCACTTTACCTCCATGCCTTGGCTTTCTCATCTGTAAAACAAGGGCTTATGATGTTAAGGGCCACACCCTACTCAGTCGTGTCTGACTCCTTTGCAACCCCATGTACTGTATAGCCTGCCAGTTTCCTCTGTCCTTGGATTTCCCAGGCAAGAATACCGCAGTGAGTTGCCATTTCCTGCCATCCAGGGGATCTTCCAACCCAGGGATCAAACCCAAGTCTCCGAGGTTACTGCATTGCAGTCGGATTCTTTACCGCTGAGCCACTAGGAAAGCCCCACCCTATTCCACAGCATTCAGTAAATGATTTATTTCTGATAAGTTACTCTGGGTTCTATAGTCTGATATGTTCCCTTTTTGGAAACTACTATAGGTTAGGGTATGGAAAGGATATTCCACACAAATGATAACTGAAAGAGAGCAGGGTGGCTACACTAAGACAAAACAGATAAAAACTCAACAAGAGAAAGGACATTTTATAAGATAAAAGGTTCAATATACAAGGAAGATATAACAATTATTAATATATAGGCTCCTAACATCAGAGCACCCAAATATACAAAGCAAACATTGGCAAAACTGAAGAGAGAAATAGACCATGACACATTCAATAACCCACTTTCAGTAATGGGTAGAACAACCAGATACAAGACCAGTAAGGAAATAGGACTTGAAAACACTAGACCGCTTGGACCTAACTCATGCAGAACACTCCACACAACAGCACAGAACACATGTTCTCAAGTGTACATGGAATGTTCTCCATGATAGATCACATGTTAGGCCACAAAAAAGAAAGTTAACAAATTAAACCACACTGAAATCATACCAAGTATCTTTTCTGACTAATATGGAATGAAACTCCAATACTTTGGCCACCTGATGCAAAGAGCTGACTCATTTGAAAAGACCCTGATGCTGGGAAGGATTGAGGGCAGGAGGAGAAGGGGACGACAGAGGATGAGATGGTTGGATGGCATCACTGACTCAATCGACATGGGTTTGGGTGGACTCCAGAAGTTGGTGATGGACAGGGAAGCCTGGCGTGCTGCAGTTCATGGGGTCACAAAGAGTCGGACACGACTGAGCAACTGAACTGAATACAAAAGAGCATAAGGAAAACTAAATATCATTCAAAATCTTTTCAGCCAAAATGAAAAACAGCCTTCTAGTGTGATTCAACCCAAATATTTTTTTCACTATGTATATAAATGTATAAGTATTTTAAAGACATTATATTGACAGAATATTGCATCGTTTTTATTTACTTGTGAAAGTGATGAATACACTTTCACTGTAAAAAATTTGAACAGGATTTCCCTGGAGGAACAGTGAATAAGAATCCACCTGCCAAAACAAAGGACAAGGGTTCAATCCCTACTCAGGGAAGATTCCACATAGAATGGAGCAACTAGGCCCACAACTATTGAGCCTGCACACCCAAGAGTCCACATACTTCAACTATTGAAGCCCTTTTGCCTATAACCTGTGCTCTGCCAGAGAAGTCCGTGCACCACAGCAAAGACATGCCCCCGCTGGCCGAAACTAGGGAAAGCCCACGTGCAGCAACGAAAACCCAATGCAACCAAAATATTCGAACAACACAAATGTGAAGTACTCTGTCAGCTTCTCCCTGCCATGCCCACCCAACGCTGCCTCGCAGAAACCATCGTTTCCACCTTGTCGCACCCCCTCAGACCTTCCTGTGCAATCCCGTGATGCAAGAATTCAGCGTGTCCAGCTTTCTATTAAAACATCCAGTAGAGGGAACTGTTTCTCTTTTAATATACAAGTTATATTACTTTTTCTTTGCAAAAATCAATGTATCTTTAAGAAAAAATCTGTCTAGGATGTCATTTATACAATGCAGAATGTATAAAAATTTATAAACATATTTATTTCTACTGACTAGTTACTAACTGAATTAAAATTTTAAATCTTATTTTCTCCCTTCAACTTTCTTGTTGGTTTGCTTGTTTCATTTTCTTTGACCTTGAAATTATGTAGTTTTTAAAGGCTACTGCTATTGAGTACACTTATGGGGAAAAAACCCTTACTGTTGGTAGAAAAAAAAAATTTTTTTTTTGAAAGGAAGATAAATCATATAAAACAATACAAGAAGATAAAATGTATATTTCATCTGGCAGTAATTCCATTTAAACTTCTAAATAGTTAGTATTATTGAATAGAGACTATTTACTTTTAGATACTCTGAAAATACTTTTTTTTTCCAAGATGGCAAATTCTATATATGAGTATTTCAACCATATTTTATGTGAGTGGCATACACATTTTAATTTCACAGCCGTTCTCAATGAAGAGCTGACTGGACTTGCCAACTTGGTCAGCCCACTATGCTGATGTGGGGTTTCTATGCTCATGATTGTGGTCGATCTGCATAACTAAGAGATTAAGAGGAAAAAAAGGGGGGGGCTACAAAATACTATCACAGAGTCTCAATTTGGGGGCTGGAAAAATGTGGGGCAGCCAAAATGTTAGCAGCAGGTATATTTGGGTGAGTTTTTACTTTATTTAGTTGTTTCATCTATAAAAAGTCTAAGTTTTCTACAGTTAACATATACTCATCTTGAAATGGGCTTCCCAGGTGCCAACTGCAATGGTAAAGAATCCGCCTGTCATGCAGGAGACGCAAAGATGGGGGGACACATGTGCACCCATGGCTGATTCATGTCGATGTATGGCAAAAACCATCACAATATTATAAAGTAATTATCCTCCAATTAGATTTCTTAAAAAGCTGGAAATAGAACTGCCATATGACCCAGCAATCCCACTTCTGGGCATACACACTGAGGAAACCAGATCTGAAAGAGACACGTGCACCCCAATGTTCATCGCAGCACTGTTTATAATAGCCAGGACATGGAAGCAACCTAGATGCCCATCAGCAGATGAATGGATGAGGAAGCTGTGGTACATATACACCATGGAATATTACTCAGCCATTAAAAAGAATTCATTTGAATCAGTTCTAATGAGATGGATGAAACTGGAACCCATTATACAGAGCGAAGTAAGCCTGAAAGATAAAGACCATTACAGTATACTAACACATATATATGGAATTTAGAAAGATGATAACGATAACCCTATGTGCAAAACAGAAAAAGAGACTCCTATGTATAGAACAGACTTGTGGACTCTGGGAGAAGGCGAGGGTGGGATGTTTCAAGAGCACAGCATTGAAACACATATATTATCTAGGGTGAAACAGTTCACCAGCCCAGGTTGGGTGCATGAGACAAGTGCTCGGGCCTGGTGCACTGGGAAGACCCAGAGGGATTGGGTGGAGAGGGAGGTGGGAGGGGGGACCGGGATGGGGAATACATGTAAAAAAAAAAAAAAAAAAAAAGATACACTATGGTTGTGATAAAAAAATAAATAAATAAATAAATTAAATTAAAAAAAAAAAATTATCCTCCAATTAAAATAAACTTTAAAAAAAGAGAGAGAGAGAGAAAGAGAGACTTGTGTTTGGTCCCTGGGTCAGGAAGATCTCCTGGAGGAGGAAATGGCAACTCACTCCAGTATTCTTGCCTGAAAAATCCCATGGACAGAGGAGCCTGGCGGGCTACAGTCCAGGGGGTCACAAAGAGTCGGACACCACTGAGCAACTAAGCACAGCACAGCACAGCTCAATAACAATTTAGGGGACAGTTCTGGACTTGATGGAGCCACTCAGGAAAAAGTTGTAACATAATCACAAAGTTTCTTACTACCTTTGGTAAAATGAACACCTACTACAAGCCAGGCACAGTTTCAGCACTGCAGATCCTTGCTCTGTTGGGAGTTAACATTCTGGATGAACAGGAAGCACAGTAAAAACGTACTCAGTATGTCTGGCAAGGCAGGGTGTCACAACGGGAAAGGAGGTTGGTCGGGGTGCAGTCATTAGTCAGCTTGCTGTTCACAACCCCACCCTGCTCTCAGGCTAAACATCTCAGGTGCCTCCCTAAGTGCGTCCCCAGGCCTCTGTCTGCTCCCAGCCCACCCCCCACCTCTGCAGGATGGTCGAAGTCCATGCAGACCTGGCCCTCACTGACTTCCTACCACACCTAGACACAGAGCCAGGCCCACACTGTCTGACTCAAGGGTACACCCACCAGAGCTTTTCAAAAGCTCTGAGCACTGTGTTGTGGTCCCTGGTGTTTGCTGACCGCTGCCCACATTCAGGCCCTGAACTGAGGGCCTCACTGTGATACTGCTGAACCACCTACAGGGTGGGCATCACCTCAGGACTTAACTCTGCTGCTTTCTGGGTGTGTGACAGGCCCCAGAATAGCACCTGCTATTGAATGAATGAAGCATAAAACACCAGGGAAAGACATGCACACAACTGAACAGTCCCAGACCTTGATTCTGCTCTTAGAGGAGTGAACAGAAGGATGGA